TATAGGCACACACAAAACATTTTTACTCATTCACACCACCTACTTCCCAGCAGCCCTCATGCAAATGGCAGCTTCAGCAAAGGGGCAACTCTGATCGGCTCCAAAAGCAGCGACAATGCCAACTGACATCGGTACAGCAGCTCCAGCACTGCGTAGGTGTTGGTCGATACTTGAAAGTATTCATGAGACAGAAAAGCTGAGCCTGCCAGCCCTATCCCACAACAAACAGCTCACTGGCTTGGGCAGTCATTTAGGAGGTTGTATTACGTGTCTACAGGAAAATAATAATTAAAAAAAATCATATACACTCTGCCCAATGTGGAAAGGACAACTCTCCCATGTTCAGGACAAATGGGATGCGTAAAGGGACAGAGCTGGGCTCAAGGCCCTGCCCCAGTATTTGTGGAACTGTTTCTATTTCCTTTCCCCTTTGCATTTCAGACAAAAGAGCAAAGCCCGCTCCTGAGTAATGCAACAGGCTGATACTTAGGATGCTTAGGACACTCAAGTGAAAGGCAAGAGACTCAAGTTCAAGTCCTTGCCTTGAATCAGGCAGAGTACAAACACCAAATTCAGATCGCTTATTTCCTACGACAACACAATGCACCATTGCTTTTGAGATTTCACTGCTTTTTGACCTGCACAACCACTGAAGGAAGCTTTGGCAAACCTAGCACCCCCCATAACCAGTGGGGTTTTTGTTGGTTTTTTCCCCCCTCCTAAAGAATTGCCATTTTCTCAGTAGGTGTTTGAGACAGAGTCCTTGTTCATACTGGTACAGCATTAGCTGGGCTAATTAGTGCACCCCGACACAGCTGCAGGAGCACGCTGATGTGTTTTATGAATTATGTATGTGCTAGAATTAGCTTATTAAGGAATTCCTGAAGAACTATGTGCATATGCACACAGTAATTCAGTTGTTGCAGCTGTTTGCGTTACTCTCTGGTACTCTGCGGACCCTGCAGCAGAGCACGGAGCTTCCCAGGTCCAGCAAAGACATTCGGAGAATCCGAATGGGTGAAAATGAGAGAAAGCATCAGGTGCAAAGGGTACCTCTCTCAGTAAGAGTGCCCATAAGAAGAGATGAAAACTCACTAACATGGAGCATTTTAACTCAATGAAGCAGTAACAAGAAATCCTGTCTTGCTCTTGTCCACAAACAACAAAATAAATTATAATTGCAAACGAAAGCATCTCAACACTTTAGTAAATCAAGCCACATCAGCTTCTGATGGCCACAGTGAGCTAGAGATCTCTATCTGTTCACTAGGATGTGACAATGCAGGGAAGTACAAGACCCAAGAAGTAGACCTAAGTGCATTTATCTTTAAATATTTGAGGAAGAGTGATTTTCTAGCTACCAAGTGACATGGCTTATAAACACAGATTAGGAGCAAGTTTCAATCACTTATTCTATTAT